GGTTCATGAGACCATGCCAAACTCTTTTCCAGACCAGCAGTATTAATTTACACCCCACTAGCTGTGAGTGAGGGTCCCCATTACACCACGTCCTCGGCAACATGTGACGCTGTTGGACGCTTACATTCTGCCAATCTGATAAAATTAAAATGGTATGTCATCGTGCTTTTTATTTGCCTTTCCCTGTTGACTGCGAAGTTAAGCAGGTTATAGTCTCCACAGCACCTACTTCAGTCTTACTTCCTACCCCCAACCTTCTCCTCTTCCCCAGAATCTCCTGAAATCTGGCCACCTTTTTATTGAATTACCACAACCCTAGAGGTCATGTCCCGGCGCTGGAGCCTGGTGGATGCACACCCCTGCAGGGCTCCGGCCCATCCAGCACTGTGCGGGATGCTTCACAAGCACTGATGACTTAGTGCTTACAGCAAACCCGCAGCAAAGAGTTGTGACCCCCATTTTACAGATGAGAAAACAGAGACTCATGAACTTACTCAAGGACACACAGCTGGGGCCTGACGGACTCCACACCAGGTGCTCTTGTCTCCTCTGCAGGAGACTGCAGAGGCAGGTGCTGCTACAGGGCCTCCCACCACAGGAAGGCCCTAGGGCACCTCTGTCCTTGGTTCAGGAAGCACACCTGCTGGTCTGCTGGCCATCTGGGGAGGAAGTGTCTGTTGCCCTCGGGAGTCAGCCAGAGTGGGGAAATCCATAAAGGGATGGATTCCGGGCAGTGAGGACGCTGGGACGGGGAGGGGTCCCCAGCCGGTGTGCAGGAGCACTGGAAGAATTTGTTGTTCAAGGACGATGCTCCCCAGAACCAAGTGGCTTATTTTAGATGATGTGAAATGTCCCCGGGCCCCCTAGTGAGAGAGTTAGACCCTTTTCAACCTTCTTTCAATCCTCTGACAAGGAGGGGTGAGAATCTTAGCTTGGTGCCGGATGTCTTAAATGCCTCTCTGACACTCTTTGATCCTTCTTTTTAAACAAAGGCAAACCAGATCTCCAATTCCTGAGAGTCAAGGCATACTATCTCCCTAAAAGTCATCTACTGCCTTTTGTTTTCCTTATATTGAGTTTTCACATTTCATTGTATTTAGTTTTATGGTAAGTTGATTGTTTTGTTTAAGAAACACTTATAAAACATCTACTAAATGCCAGGCACTCTTCCAAACGCTTTACAAATACTGACAAATTTAATTTTCCCTGGGACCCTCTGAGGTAGATCCTGTTATTATCATCTCCACTTTAGATTACACAGGCCCAGAAAGGTTAAGTGAACTTCCTGAGGTCACACAGCCTGTAAATGGCAGTGCCAGGATTTGAACCAGGACAGGTGGCCCCGAGTCTATTTTAACCACTGTGGCGCCCACCTCCCCTCTATTTCATACTAGTTACCTGTTGATGGTAGTGATACCATCACTGTGATATTACATTTTCTTTTGAGAGGTTTATTGGAGCAAAAACTGGGAGGTCAGTTAAAAATAAATAGCAAGTAGATAACAGCACTGGTGAAAACCTTGAAGGCAGTTAGTGGCGGGAGTTCTGGAACATTCCAACATGGCTTCATGGATGCAAGGATAGTGTAGATGGGCCATGAAGGCTGAGCTGAGAGTGATGGGAGGGGGAGAGGTGTCCAAGGAGAAGACTTAGCATGAGAATTTGCCTCATGCAAAGGCACGAGAGGCATGACAGGGCCTGGGGTGCTGGGGGGATGGGGAGTCATTCAGAGCAGCAGGCCAGTAATGGCAAGAACCCAGCATCTTCGTATAGCATTTTACAGTTCACAGAGCACTGTCACCTCTGCTTGCCCACTGACTCTTCTTAACTGCCAGCTATAGTGGGCATTATTGTCCCCATTTTAGAGATGATAACTGAGGTCAGAGAGAAGTCCAGAGAAGTGCCATTATTTGCTCCAAGATGCTGTGGCTTCAAATTCTGGCCACTTTGCTCTATTTCACTGTATCAGATATCTTTGGTGGCAAGCAACAGAAACATAGTTCAATATGCTTGAGCAAAATAGATGTTTTTTGGCTTATGTAAATGAAAAGTCCCGGTATGGACATCAGATATGGCTGGATCCAGGTCCTCAAATGATGCCCTGGGAACTCTGGGTCTGTATTTCTCAGTATTAGCATCATTTTCAGGCAGGGTCTCTCTAAGAGGTGACAAAGATAGCTACTAGCCTCCAGCAGGCACCCCCAAAATCATCTCTTTACTAGAGTTCTGGAAAAACTTCCCCGGCTGCTCTCATTGGGCTTGCCGGAATTGGCGTCCAACTCTGACCCATTCACTGGGTCTAGGCAGGTGGGGTGCTTTACCAAACAGGCCTCGGTCTGGTGTCCGCCCTGTGGAGCAGGGGTTCAAGTCAGCTCCACTCAGACCACCGAGAGGCAGCTCCAGTCTGGGAAGCTCTTCACATAAGGTGAAGAGATGCCAAGCAGACAGAAGCAGATGCATCCTCTCCAGCCCCTGGGGCCTGCATGTGGTTTGTGCAGAGCTGAGGAATTTGGAGGGATGAAGAGCCTTGGATCTGGGCAAAGGGTTTGGTGCCTTATTTATCCTGTGGTTGAGATGGAGCCGCTGGGGAGGGACACGGACAGCGCTATGCCAGGCCTTGTGCTGGGGCTGGGGTCACAGGGTGGACACACTAGTGAGGGGTGGAGACGGGCTCCACCACCTGGGACTGAGGCGGAAGCCTCAAAGTGTGATAACAGAAGGCTCCTGCAGGCTTGGGGCCGGGTGAGGTCAGTGTTCCTTACAGCAAATTTAAATGGTATTTGCCCCATTATTTTATTTCAATAGTGCTGTTATTCATTTTAAAGTGTGTTGGGGGAAAAACACACAATAATGGATATTATTGCTTAGGAAGGGGTTGGAGTTAAATTTTAAGTGAATTCATTTCTAGAAAACGTATTAAATAAATAACACTATGCATGATCTACAAACATGGCCAACATTTAGAGGGTGAGAAATTGTGGACTCTTTGTCTAGAGCATTCTGGGGACCCCTCACTTCTGATGCTCTAAATGCATGTCAATCACGGCTGTTTCTTGAGTGTGTACGTGTCAGGGGTCATGCCCAGGGTTTTCTGCAAAGTGCTTCCTTGAATTCTCACAAGAATCCTGGACGCAGGCTTTACTGTCTCTACTTTTCAAGGCTCAGAGAGGGGAAGTGACAGGCCCGGAGCCACACAGCTGGTAATCTGGACCTCTCTGTGCCCTTCACCACTGCCCGTTTGGTGACTTGTTAGGGAGCTCTCAATGGGGCCAGAGTAGGATCAGGGGGAATCCAGGTGGGGGTTCTTCCCACGTGGGCCCAGAGATGGCGTCTGGAGGAAGCCATGGCTGTGACTTGGTCCCTGGATGGGTCATCCCTCTCGGCCCTAGTTCCAGCTCCAGCCTGTCCATGCCCTGAGCCGGGCAGGTGGATGCACGGGCCTGTGACCGGCACCTCCCCAAGCAGACACAGAGCTGGGGGTGCAACGGGCATAGAACCAGCTAGAGCCTGGCGTTGCCCCCTTGTGCGTTGTTCCTCTGCTGGAGGCACCAAAGGCCGCTCTCCCCAGATAGGCTCTTTCTGTTCTCCAAAGAGGTCTCTTCTCCATCTCACCCAGAATCAGTGAGTCCAGGTTGCCTTCATTTGGTTGGGCCCCGGTCCCCACTGTGCTCTCTAGTGAGCTAACCTGGGCTCTGGATTGAGCAAGAAGCCTCATTATTGGGCTAACCTTATCTTAGTTTCCAGTAGGGGTCTCCTTTGTGGGCTGATCTTGAATTTGTTATTCAGTAGGAAGCCAATCTACTGGGCTAACGTCAACCTGGGTGTTTCTTGGGAAGGAAGACTCAAGGTTGCTCCTCATCAGATGCCACTTTCCAAACCAGTTTCCCCTCGTGCCCTCCTCCTCCTCCCTCTTTTCTTTTTCGGATGGATAAATGCCCACATTTAACTCCACGCACCATCCTGCGTCAACAGGCCTAGCAGGGCTGAGGAGCATTGAGCTCCTCCTTCTTTAAATTCGCCTCTGATTTGTGACTGTTAAGGGGCACTGGAGGAAGGTAGGAGAAGTGGGTGGGCCCCAAGGGGTGAATCAGCCATGTCTAAAGGGCAGGAATCCTTGGTAGCATCCAGCCTCCTTGAATTCCTGTTTTTCTGAGACAAATCCAAGAACCTAAGGCAAGTCTTCCAAAGAAGGGATGGGGACCAGAGGGATGCTGTTCAGGGTCCCTTGGTCCCCAGGCCCGGGCCCACCTTCTCGCTGTGCATCTCTTCCAGGTTCCCGGGAGGCAGCATGCTGTGTGGCTGGGCTATCCCTTGGCTCCTGCTGATGCTCCAGGGTGGTGAGTAGCTGCCTCATGGTCTGCAGGTGGGGAGGGGCTGGGCTGGCCTACGGCTCCAGAGCACAGCTAGAGGCCACAGGGTCGGCGTCTATGGCATCTGTCCACTGGAAGCCTACACAGGTCAAGCGGCCAGCTCTCCATTAACCAGAACCCCTCCAACCAGAGAGCTCCACGAGCCAGAATGGCTCGTGAGTCCCAAGCGGCCCAGCCCACCAGCTTGGGTCTTCACATCTCACCAGGGGTATGAGAGGCTTCATCCTTCTGTTCCAGCCTTGGCTGGTGCCCAACCCTCAGAGTGCGGAAGTCCTGCCTGTGGTCTAACCTCAGTTTCTCCTCCTGTAATGACTCTCCTAGACATTTTTCAACAATCACTGGGTGCTCAGCAGGCACTGATGTTCCCCAGCAGGGGGAGAGGGAAGGGGGAGACAAAGCAGCCAAAGCCTTGGAAGGAGGGCCCTGGAGGCCCAGAAGATGCTGTGGTCGGAGGGAGACGTTAGAGAGCGAGCTGGGAAAGGCCAGGAGTTAAACGTGGGGTGCAGCCAGGGTCGAGAGACCCTGGAAACCTTCCCACAGCACAGGCTGGAGTGCAGGCCGGACTGGGGCGGAGGCCTCAGGTGCCACACTGCTGCCTCACCGGCATTTCTCTCTGGCTTTTACCAAAAGACCTGGAGCCTCAAACAGCTCCTCAGGAAACAGATGTCGGCTCCTCATTCTCCCTTTCTGAGTGACAGCAGCCCGTCCTGGCTCTAACGGCCCTCGGATCACCCACCATGGCCTGGGAGCAGCCGTGGGTCGTGACCACTCTTCATGCCTCTCTCTGCCTCCTGCATGCTCTGACAGCCCTGGGCGAGGGACAGCCCTGGGGCTCTCTGCCCAGGGATCTGGTACTGACCAGGTGACTGGGTTTTTACTGCCTCTTGTCCCCAGTGCTACCTCCATGCTGGTTCAGGGGCTGCTGTCTCCTCCCCAATGTTTCATTCCAAGTTTGGGACAAGTACTGTCCTTGGTGGCCTTGAGCCTAGCTATGAATGGCAGCTCCTCTCTGACTTCTGGAACGCTGGAGAGAACAACCAGGATATGAACTCTGAAAAGACACAGCCCCACGGCGGCTCCTGCAGCCTGGGTTTAGGTCCTGCCCAAACCAGTCCTCTTTCCTCCACAAAGCGTCTGAACTAGCCCCTGTGTGCCCGCCGACAGGCCCCGTGTTCCTCCCTGACGGAAGCCTCCTCCTAGAGCAGGACTCGCTTCCACAACTCAGATCCCTCCGTAGTGGCTGCCGGGAGAACTGTGTTGAGAAGGATTCTGGGGTCACACCCAATGGAGAGAGAGCGATGATCGATTAGCAATGTCTGCCACGTCTGCGGATGTGAAGAAGGAGCACAGCTGACATTCTGCCCTTCCCGGGCGAGCGTGCAGCAGCCCGGGCCGAGAGAGACGAGAGATGGGGTCCGTGTGGGTGCCTCGGAGTTCGCATTCTACACGCGCAGCGAGACTGGGCTGGAGGGTGTTTCCGATGACAGTGATCTTGGCACCGAATCCCGCCTCGGACCTAGCATGAGGCTCAGGCAGGGAGCACACTGCCCCTGCATCTTCATTAGTCAAGGAAACATAAGGAAAAGCCACTAACAATGACTCCACTTAAAAAGAGGAACAAATTTCTGGTAAATGGTGGGGGAAAATAGCAGAGTTCGCACTTGATCTTACAAAACTAAACTAAAGCTTTACTTTCTCAGACGCTTGAAATTTAGATTGTGACCGACCGTTGTATTTTTAGAACAAGAGTGACGCAATCGGTGCTGGGGCGGGGCAGCCTCAGGCGCCCACGTCTCCCGTCCAGCTGCGCTGGCCCTCGCCGCCTTGGGGGTTCCGCCTGGGGGGCTCCGGCGGCTCCCGGCTCGGAGGAGCTGCGGCCGCGGCCCCCAGGGGTCTCCGGCTGCCCTCCCGCATGCACGAAGCCGTGCCCCCGCCTGTGGGGAGCTCAGGACGCAGCTCCTGAGACGGGCGGGCTGCAGGGACGCTGTCCAGGAGGCTGGACATGGCAGGGGAGGGGGGTGCTGCGGAGGCCTCGCTTAGCCTCTTATGCTTCACATTACGAGTGTCTTGGCCCCATAGCCACCCGGGAAACTGGGGACTCAAACAAGGAATTCTCAGCTGGCAAGCACCCCTTTGCCCCAGGCGCACATCTTGGTGGTCCCTGGGTCGCCATGTTCATCCTGGCCCTGGGACCTCTGCTTCTACTCATCTTCCAGCCCTTGAGAGGGTGAGGGAGTGGGGAGCCCTGTAGCCCCCAGCCAGCCCCACACCGAAACCTCTGTCTCCCTGACCCTCCAGCCTGGGGCTGCTCAGACCTTGTCTGCTACACCGATTACCTCCAGACGGTCACCTGTATCCTGGAGACATGGACCCTCCACCCTGGCACGCTCGTCCTCGCCTGGTGAGTGGCGGGGCCTCACCAGCCCTGGGCTGCTGCTCAGCGTAGCCCCTGGAGGGGTGGGACAGGACCATAGGAGACCACAGACCATGTTGGACCTACTGTGTGCCAGGCAGGTAGTTTAGCAATAAAAATCATAGCTGCCACTTCCTGGGGGCTCAGCGATTTCACCAACAGCATTTGGCTTCACCTGGAGAAAGACCGTGAGCGGGGAACGACCGTGCCCTCTTACAGACGACCAGGTGGGGCTCACAGGACTTGTCCAGAGCACGCTGTTGAGAGGCCACAGGGCAGCTCTGTCCAGCTCCAAAGGCCGTACTCTCTCGCCCGCACCGGCCTGACTGGTTTTGAGACCCGAGACAGCCAGAATCCCAAGTGATTTTTCTGAGTACTTAGTACATGCCGGCAGCCTGCTATGTCCCTTCCAATCCTCACAATTACTACTGTCATTTTACAAAAGAAGTCACTGCAGTTCAGAGAGGTTATGCAACTTGCCCAAGGTCACATAGCCAGTGAATTGCAGACCTGGGATTCAAACACAGGCAGCCTGGCTCCAAATCCATGGGTCCCTGTTAGTCCCTATTGTTAAAGAAAAAATTATTCATGACACTTGTTAAAGAATGCTGAGGCAGACTTTACTGAGGGCCATCACAATAGGTGTTGGGGCCGCTGCGTGGGGTTCTGCAGTGAGGGGAGAGATTGGGCTCTGAATATAATAAGGAAATTTGTAGCCAAGGAACAGGGTGGGGGGGTCAGTGGACAGGAAATTACTAAGAGGCAACGTCAAGGGTGGGTGAGGGCTCTAGCTAAGCCGACCTAACGAGATTCTTGCTGAAGGCTGCCAGGTGATCAGACATCAGCTGGGGGATGGTGGGGCATGAGGAGCCCGATCAGAGGTCGAGGATGGGGATTCTGGCTAAACTGACTCAGCAGGAGTCCTGCTAAAATTAGACAAGGCAGAGCCAGCACGGAAGCCCAAAGCCGGGGCCGGGGTGAGAAGAGAGTCAGAGGAGCCTGGGTGGAGTTTGGTCAAGGAGAGACTCTTGGTCAATACGCTGCTCAGGATACAGAGAAACTGGCTTTCATTCTGTCGTCATCAATTCATTCATTCATTCATTCAGAACACATTTATTAAGCTCCTGCCAGACACTTGTAATCACTGGGGGCTCAGCAGAGCCTAAGACTGACAAGGTCCCAGATGTCCTAGAGCTGACGTACGGCAGTGGGAGTGGCTGGGAGACAGATGATAAATATATAAACAACCGACAGGATGCTTTCTGAGACCCATGAGTGCTACAAAGCAGTGCATCTTGGAGGCGGGGCAGAGAGCGAGTGACACGGGTGAGGGTGTATCTTAGCCAGGATGGCCGGGGCAGACCTCTCTGCATAAGAAGGCGGCACCAGTGAGCTGGAGAAAGGGTGTTCTAGGCGAGGGCAGTGCATGTGCAAAGGCCCTGAGGGGGAAGAGGTGGTGAGCTTGAGGAATAGCGAGGAGGTCCATGTGGCCTGCAGAATGAGTCAGCATGGGAGAGAATAACAAGCAAGGGAGGCAAGAGGCGGGCAGGGGCCAGATGGTATGGTGTGGGCGGTGAGACGCCACTGGAAGGTGACAGGGAGTTTTTAAGGGTCCCCCTGGCTGCTGTGCAAGAGGGATAGATTGCAAGGTGGACGGGCAAGGCAGGGACCCCACCAGATAGCCATTACAGTGGTCCCAGCATACGTTTCTCTTCCAGCAAATCTTTAGCAAAGAACTGAGCCCACACATCCAATTGGCCCTGGAGGGTGGTCGTGTTCAGAGCCTGAGGATGTAGGTAGGGAAATGAATATCTGGCGAACTCCAATACATACTTCAAAACCCATCATTTCTGCCCAGTGGGAGTTACAAAGTCAGAGCATTTCCCCCAGCTCCACACCAAAAGCCTCGCTGGAAGTTCACCTAGAGCAGAAAATGAGATTCATTTGGCTCTTGTCTTGGCCCTCAACACAGGCACTTCTTGGGTATTGAGCAGGTGTTGGGTGGAAGGAGGGTCAGAAGGAGACCTGAAATGCTTCGCAGCCTTCCTCTTGCAGGGATCCAGTTGATGAAACTGACAGGGGCAGACTTAGGCTCGGTTCAAGCAATGGCCCAAATTTCCAAAGTTGACAGTTGCTGCCCTAAATGAGATAGTGAGTTCCTGGTCCCGTGGAGGTGTGCAAGCCGAGCCTGGACACAGTCCATCAGGGATGCTCTGGGGGGCGGGGTACCTTCCCTGAGAAAGGATTGGTTGGGCCAGATGACCCCCACCCCGCCTGAAATCCCTTCCAGCCCCAAGACTATGGGCTTCTGCCCTGCCCCTGTGCACCGAGTCCCGCCGGCCTGCAGCCATGACCGGCTGTTCTGTCCTTGAAGGCAAGACTCGTACGGAGAACTGGAGGATGAGGTCACCTCCTGCAGCCTCGGCCGCTCCACCCACAACGCCACGCACACAGAGTACACGTGCCACATGGACGTGTTCCCCTTCATGGCCGACGACATCTTCACTGTCAACATGACAGACCAGTCTGGCAACCACTCCCAGGAGTGCGGCAGCTTTGTCCTAGCGAAGAGCAGTGAGTACCCCTGGGCCCCCAGAGCTGAGGAGAACCCAGGTGGGGGCTGGGCCCCCTGCTCCTGGGCCGCCTGTCCCCCCAGCAGCGCTGCCCTGTCCCCGCCCTCATGGCTCCTAGAGTTCCGCTCTTTAGAGGCACCGCTGCCTGCGAAGGTGGCGGTTGGTAACTAGGTGTGGCCTTAACCAGAGAGGCAGCAGGGGGATGAGAAGGAGCTGGCCTGGGGCCCAGGACCTCGGGCCGCCCTGCTGGCTCAGCCTCTGCCTGTCTGTGACCTTGGACTGGTTCCCTATTTGTAGAGTGAGGGCCCTTTTAACCCTGACCCTCTAGGATTCTGTTCCCATTATGAGGCAAGTGGGGACAATGAGAGTCACAAGAGGAAAACCTCCCTGAGTTTGCTGCCTTTCCTGAGCTCCTGTGAGGCCTGGAATTTCTCTCTAGAGGTTGGGGGAGTCCAAGGGGCAGGAGGGGCCTGGCTGGTGGAATCAGTTGTGTCTGTGGGTCCAGAACCAGGACAAGGCAGGGAGGGGCCCAGGAGGCAGGTTTAAGTGTGTGTGTGTGTGTGTGTACCCACAGTGGGGTGTCCAGGGAGGGGGTGAGAGTCATGTGCCCAGAGGCATGCAAACACAGACTGCAAAGAGAGTCCTGCCCCTGGGAAGGCCCAGCCCTGGAGGCTTGGGCGTTTCTGTCCCTGATTCCCAGCTGTGGGGTAAGGAGATATGAGTCTGTCATTCACACTCTGGGCGTGCAGGTTTGTATGACTTTGCTGAGTGCGTATTGCACCACAGAGGGTATGAGCGAAGCTGTGAACACACTCCTAGACACACTCAGACTCTCTCTCACACACACTCATAAATACATCTTCAGATGCACAGATTCTACCACCCCCAGGCCTAGACAGCACGGACACAGACACCCACATTCTCTCATACACCCACACGTGCACGCACACGCATGCACACGCATGCACACACATGCATGCAGGCTCACAGCCCTTTGGATCCCAGCGTGGCGAGTTCACCAGGCAGGCAGCGCCCGGCCCCACCCTACAGAGGAGAGCGCTGGGCAGAGGGGTGCTCCCTGCCTCTCCGCCCTGGGGCTCTGAGCCACATTTCTCTCTGGCCCCCTCCCACCCGCCCTCCCGGCCAGGGTCTGAGGCCAGATGTGGCAGGGAGCCGTATTCTGTCCTGCCCCAGCCCCACCTGGGCCCTTCCTCCTCCTGGCCCTGGGCCTCCCTGGGCTGAGCAGCCCCCATCCTTGACCCGGGCTCCACAAACATCTCCTGATCTTCTCCTCAGCTGGTCCTCACCACCAGCGCAGGCCTCACTGGGGAACGGAGAACCCAGCCTCACTGGCCTGGGGAAGAGAGGAGCAGGCTTAGGAACTATCCAGAACAAAAGGACCATCTCTGAAACAGCAACAGCAATAAGGCACTCACCTCGGCCTCCGCCAACGGGCACCTTCTCCCCCCTCAGGCCACGGTGCAGGCTCAGGAGCAGCTGTAGAGTTCCTTTTTGGAATCCCTGAAAAGTTCATTTGTTGATTTGACAAATATTTCCTGAGGGCCTACTGTGTGCCAGCTCTGTCCTAGGAGCTGCAGGCACGTCATTGACCTGGGAGAACAAAACTTCCGGAGAGGGGGCGGGTGGTAGAGAGGATCACAGAGGGAGAAGTGGAGAACAGAACGTTTGTTCGATGGAGGCGCGCAGAGCTGGGAGGTGGCGGCAGCGAGGTGGCGGCGGGGGGACGGGGGGGGAGCTCCCTCTTCTGCTGTGCTAACCCAGTGCTGTCGCTTGGTTCCCTGACGTTACCTCCTTCTGCTACTCAGTTTGGTCCCTGGGAATTTTCACCCTACAGGAGAGGGAATGAAAGCACATTACGTGCTGTGTCCCGCTCAAGTTCATAAACACATGTGGGATGGAGCAGAACAAGCAGTTTTGACCTTAGCCTGGGGGACACCCCGAGGGCGTGGTATTGTGGCCCAGATCTGGCTCTTGCTCTTTCCAGAAGATGTCTGTGATGGGAGAACAGTCGCACGAAACTCGCAGGCCACCGCAGGGTCAAACTGCTCAGTGCAGGGCAGCCCCGTGGGCACTCAGTAGTGGTACCTTTCACATTAATGAATGATAATTTGTCAGCCTTAACACTAATTAGAGTCTTTTGACTTCTCTGAGAAGCTGGAGTTAAAAGAACGTGATGTCATCACTTAGAACAGAAGCATAAAACAAGAGGGTCTGGCCACAGGTTGCTTAGAAAGTGCCTGGATTAGTGGCTAACTTTAATGTTAGAGCGATTTCCCACAATAATCTGGATTTCCAGGTTGTGGGGTTTTCCCTGGCCGCCCTGCTCTGCGTTCCCACCCGGCCTGACTCGTGGCGTCCCCTTCAGACTGGGAGGGCTCTTGTTTCCTCAGTCCCCAGGCCGGCTTCACCCCCTTCTATCACCTGCCGGCCCCTGAGGCACAGCCCCAGTCTAGTCCAGATCTCTCATTTCTCAGATGAGTAAACTGAGGCACAGAGACACGGGCTGCTTTGCCCAAAGTCACTGGGGTTGCTAGTCCTGGGCTCGGCCACGGCCGGTCAGGCAACGGGGAACGTCTTCCCGTCACCATCTCCTTCTCAGCTGCTGCCGAATCTCACCTCGTTTCGTCTTTCTGGCTTTTTCTTTTAAGTCAAGCCATCTCCCCCTTTCAACGTGACCGTGACCTTCTCGGGACTTTACAACATCTCCTGGAGCTCCAGTTACGATTCCTACGGGCTGCAGGGCAAGCTTCAGTACGAGCTGCAGTACAAGATGCGGGGAGATCCCTGGGCTCTGGTGAGGCGCGTGGGCAGCAGGGGGGTGGGCAGTGGCCAGCATCCGGGAGCAGGAGAGCTCTGAGAGAGGTCAGTTTGTCATTCACAGCCCAGAGTGCAAACCAAGGACGCTCCAAGACGGAAGCGCTCCCAGGCCAGCTCACTGGGTGCTGCCCACTCCTCCTTTCTCCATGGGTGGGAGATCCCTTAGCATGCTTTCCTTCCTGTCCCTGTTTCCTCCCGTCAGCATGCCAGCGAGGAAGGGATTGGCGCCTCCCCAAGGTGCCACCTTGAGTCTAGTACAGTCACAGTAGACAAAGTTTCAGAAACAAGCAATCTGGAACCTTCCCACTTTGTTTAGAATGGCCATAGTTGAAGAGTTCCAGAGTTGTCCATAGCTAAGGAAGCCTGGTGTTAAAGGGACCATTGTTTCAAACATGAAGGCTTCTGGAGGTGTCCTTTGTTTAGAGTGTTGGAGAGTTCCAGAATGGCCGACTATTTAGAACAGTCTCAACTGTTCTAGAAGTATCCATCCTTTAGAATGGTCACAGATGAAGATTTTCCTAAGTGCCATTGTGTAGACTGCCCCAGTGGAAGACTTCAGAGGCATCTGTTGCTATGGCCTGTGGTTGAAGGCTTCCAGAAATGCCCCTCTATTGAGAATGCCCCCTGGTGGAGAATTGCAGACGTGTCCACTGTCTGGAATGCCGCCAGTTAAAGATCCTGTGGAGAGTCCATTGCTGCTCCTGGGACCCTCCCAGGCCCAGCGGGGGGCCCCTGCCAGGACTGTGAGTGTGCGATTTGGGATAAGAGAGAAACAGAACAAGGCCCTGCATTGCAGGCGAGGCCGAGGCAGTGCCCGTGGCTCTGTGCTGCCCACTCTGGGCTGGCCAGGACTCAGGCCTGGGCCGGATTCTGGTGGAGGGAGCAGAGACTGCAGGAGAAACTCAGTCCCGTTCCTAGGGGCTAGTGAAGGGGGGGTTCTACTGGAGGCAGAAGCTGGCCTGGTTGATCCTGACGCTACGCATTGTCCCCTGTGCTGGCAGAGGCCACAGAAAAGGCTGATCTCGGTGGACTCGAGAAGCGTCTCCCTCGTTCCCTTGGAGTTCCGCGGAGACTCGAGCTACGAGCTGCAGGTGCGGGCAGGGCCCCAGCCTGGCTCCTCCTTTGAGGGGACGTGGAGCGAGTGGAGTGAGCCAGTCATCTTTCAGACACAGCCAGAAGGTAGGGGTGAACCTGCGTGGACTCCCCACTGCTTGTACCAAGTCTTGTCCTGGTCCAGCGGCCCTGAGCCCTGAGATTTCTGGTAGGGCTGGAAGGTTTCTGCTCAGTCTGCGTCCCCAGTTGTAGCCAGCCCATGCCATTTCTGGAGCCCCTGCTGGCCAGGCCCTGCATTGGGTGCCAGCTTCTTCTCCTGGCAAGGCATCCGATCCTCCTAATAACTCTGTCAAGTGGGAATCATTACCCCATTTTGCAGGTGAAAAAATGGAGGCTCAGAGAGATGAAGTCACTTGCCTGGGGCGGGGTGGGAGCAGGATTTGAACCCAGGTCCATCTCACTTCAAGGCGCCTGCAGCCTTCTCCCTCCCGGGCACCCCCAGGCCCACGCCCGCCGCCCTCGCTCCCTGTGGCTCCTCGTGGAGGCCGGTTCCGCGTGACCTGGTGTTTGCTTCATTCCCAGGGAGCAAGGGAGGCTGGCACTCTGACCTGCTGTACCTCCTCCTGGTCCTCGTGCCCCCCATCCTTGTCTTCTTAGGCCTGAAGATCCACCTGCCTTGGAGGTGAGGACAGGGATTCAGGGAGGCAGGGAGGGGGTCCGCCTGAGCCACAGCCCCTGTGTGACCCGCCCAGGGCTGGGGGACACAGCCGTCATCATGACAGTGACAGTGACGGTGACAGTGATGATAACAGCTCCCGCTTACTGCCTGCTGGGCACCGTGCAGAGCTCTCACTTCACCCCCACAGCAGCCCTAGGAGCTTGATGCACAGCCATTACCTCCATTTAACAAATGGGGAAACTGAGGCACAGAGCCATCAAGGAACTCACCCAAAGTCACTCAGCTGTGAGATGAAGGAGGTGGACTTTGAAGCCTGTGCTCTTCACAATGACCGGCTGTGATGGAGTCCAGAGAGCTTTAAGCTTTGAGTCCCGAGGGGCACGAGGGGCCACCAGGTGGGGGTGCGGGGTTGGTGGGCTACCTCCCCATCCCCTCTTATTCAGCCGGAGGTTTTGCCTCTATCTGTCTATATGCTGGGTTTCTTCTGAACATTGCCACTGAGAGAAAGGGTGCTGCTGATTGAAAACACAATGTGGCCTCCGCTGGCCTTTGTGAGTGCCGCTGGCTGAGGCCGGAATGGCAGCTGCCATGTGCTGAGCCCCCTACGTGGCAGACGCTGGGCAGGGGCTCTGCATCCCCGGGCCATCTTGTTCTTCATCCAGAGACAGACAAGGACGGAGGCAGAGAAGCGTGAGGGGAGAGGACGGTGCTGACACAAGGATACATGGAGTGCCCTGGCGCCGGGCACCGGTTCTCACACTGACCTGCCCACAGCCCTTTGGGGCTGGCTCTCTGCCCATCCCCGGTTGTAGAGGAGGAAGTCGAGGCTCAGAAGGGGCAGCATTTGCCCAGCACAGAACAGGCTGCCAAGCCCTTAGACCCCATGACCCTTCAGGAACCTGCGGGAGAGCCTGGCGGCTCCCATCTTACAGACGCAGAAACTGAGGCCCAGAGTGGGGAGTGGGGTGGAAGGGAGGTATCGCCTGGATCTTGGGAGGTGCTGAGTCTTCTGCAGGACAAAGCTGGGGAGCCTCCCAGGGGAGAGTAGGCTGCCCTCTGGGAGGTGTGGCGGCTCACCTCCTTTCTGCCCTCGCAGGCTGTGGAAGAAGGTCTGGGTACAGGTGCCCAGCCCAGAGCGGTTCTTTCAGCCCCTGTACATGGGCCACAGCGGAGACTTCAAGGTGAGTGCCCCCACCCGGTGACGAGCCCCTCCGAGCCTCTTACCCTCTCCGGGAGCCTCGCTCCACCCTCACATCAGGGCCCCAGCCCCTCCCTGCAGCCCAGAGCCCCCAGGTCCCAGCCAGGCCGGGACCCGCCCTCAGTCTCTGCACAGGAAATAATTCCCATGGGGCAGGATGGCATGAGAATCAGACAAGATCACGCAGTACTTCTCGACCCGAGAAGCTGGACTCAGGGAGGGGAGAGCCAGGCGGCCCCTTGAGCCAGACTGGCCTCCTTAGAAGCCCTGAGATGGGGGCAGAGACGGAGTGGGTTCTGGGAAGGGCGCGGCCCCATCTGCAAAATACGCCGACTCCCTGCCGCATCCAGCCAGGGCCACCGCCTGCTGTCACCACGGGGTTCTCTGTGCCCGACACCCACCCAGCGGCAGGAGGGGCCGCCGCAGAGAGGGTGTGGCGACGGCCAGGAAGGCCAGCCCACCTGCTCCAGCAGAGCCTGGAAGTCAGGAAACGTGGACTAGAGCGCTGATGGAGCTCCTGCTGCCTGCCTGGTGCCCAGCTGAGCGCCCTCTGCCCCTCTGCCCCTTTCGTCCTCCCAGCGGCCCCTGCGGGCTGGGCGCTCATTGCCCCAGGGTACCCATGAGGAGACGAGGCTCAGAGCAGGGAAGTGGCTTTAGTGGGGCAGAGGAGGAGTCTGGACTCCAGGGCACATGGGAAGGACCCTTTCCTTTTTCCTCTGCACCTTCCCTGAAGCTCAAATACCATGTCTATTTTGGTTCATTTTACCAATGCTCACGTGGCATTTGCTGTATACCAGACACTCTGCCAGGAGCTTCCCAGATATTAACTCATTTAGTTTAAGTACTCCGTGGAGTGGGTACTATTAGCAGGCCTATTTTACAGATAAGGAAACTGAGGCATAGAGAGGGTAAGTAACTGGCTTAAGGCCACACGGCTGAGATGTGACTTCAAATCTGTGGTGGTGGCCACGTCAGGGTTCTGAGACGAGCGTGCCAAGGAAGATAGGCTCAAAACCAGGAGAGTCTTGTCCTCAGGGAGTTTCTCTGCCCGTTGGATGGAGACCTGCAGGACCCCTGGCAGCTGAGGGCACGAGATCCTCAAGGCTTGGGGGCCGCTGCCTCAGTCTGTCATCAGCCCGCGTCCCAGGCACGCAGAGGTTTTTCCAGGTGGCTTCCTATTCATTTTGCTGATCAACACTGACAGGGCACCTCCTGCGTCCCAGGCACTGTGGGGTTTCCTGGGATCCAGGTGTGATCAGGAGAATTGGGCCTTTTGCCCTGGCCGAGTGTCTCCTCTAGTGCCACACGAACAGGAGAATGCCGGGTTTCAAGAAACATCCTGGAGGACATAAAACAGGGGACCAGGTGGGGATTGGTCACTCAGACCTCAGGCCCCCCCCGCCCCCAGTGTCCCCACAACTCAGCAGTCTTGTCCCCTGCACCCACACAGACCCCAGGCCATGGAGCCACCGATTATCTGAGCTGGCAGGCTACTGAGGGCAGTGGCTCCTTGCTACAGGTGGGGAAACTGAGGCCCAGAGAGGCAGGGACAGTGGTGGGGACCGTCACTGGTCCCCCATCTCTCTTTATCTTCTGGTGTCTTTCTCGCTTGCAGTCTCTTTGTCTTGTGCCTCTATCTCTGTGTCTGTTTATATCCCGCCCAGCCCTGTGTCTAATCTGTGACTCTCTCCCTTTTCACTCTCACAGAAATGGGTGGGCACGCCCATCACCCCCGCCAGCCTGGAGCTGGGACTCTGGGCTGCGGGGACACCCTCGTCCCTGGAGGTGTACAGCTGCTGCCCACCACAGAGTGTGCCCAAGGGGCGGGAGCCCACGTCGCTGCCGGAGCTGGCAGACCTGGTAGAAGCCGACGGAGTGCAGGAGCCAGGCTCCTGGGGCCCGGCCCCCTCCATGGCCAGCAGCTTGGGCGGTTCAACTTACAGCCAGGAGAGGGACCGACCATACGGCCTGGTATCCATCGACACGGTGACCGTGGTGGACACAGAGGGGACGTGCGCCTGGCCCTGCACCTGTGGGGACGATGGCTACCCAGCCCTGAACCTGGACACCAGCCTGGAGCCTGGCCCAGGCACCGAGGACCCGCTCTTGAGCACGGGGGCCACAGTCCTGTCCTGCGGCTGTGTCTCGGCCGGTGGTCCTGCCGGGCTGGGGGGCAGCCTCCTTGACAGGCTAAAGCTGCCCCTTGAAGATGAGGCAGGTTGGGTCCCAGGGTCGCCCTGGGGTGGCGGGCGGCGAGAGGTGTCCGACAGCGAGGCGGGCTCGCCCCCGGCCGGCCTGGACATGGACACGTTCGACAGCGGCTTCGCGGGCTCCGACTGCGGCAGCCCTGTGGACTGTGACTTCACCAGCCCCAGGGATGAGGGGCCCCCCCGCAGCTACCTCCGCCAGTGGGTGGTCACGGCCCCTTCTCCTGAAGGACTCGGACCCCAGGCCAGCTAGTGAGGCTGACTGGCTGTCCCGAGCCGGTCGTGCCCCTGGGCTGTGCTGTGCAGGGGCCTGCAGGCTTTGGTCTCCGGACGGGGCCCCTGAGCCCCGTGTTGACAGTGTGCATGTGGGACTCAGGCACACGCTGGCATGTCTGCGTGTGTGAGCAGCGCACTGCCTATGGACATGGAGCATGCCCGTGGTTATGCCACGTGCCCAAGGCCACACGTGGGTCTGTGCCTGTGTGAACTCCCATGTACACAGATGTGAGCGGCACGCACCCCTGTGTTCACACAACGACACCCTCCTCCCTTCCAGGCACATGGGATGACCCCAGGTCACGTGCTACCCACGGCCCAGGGCACTGCCCGTGACAGACACCAAGCCCAGCCCTCCAGGTCCTGTGGCTCCAGGAGCTGCAAGAAGCCCATACTGTTCCTTATCACCTTTCAGGGGCAGGAGAAAGGGACGAAGTGAGCCCTTGGTGACCCTGGGTGTGGAAAGATTTGGGGGGGCCCACGGACCTAGGTCTGAATCTTGACTGTGACACCTCCTGGCTGTGCCCCTGTGGGCAAGTCGCTTCCCCACTCTGGGCTGGGATTTCCTGTCTGGACAATGGGGATGGCATGACCTACCTCGGGGGAGAAATCGGCGAGGTCATCCACGCACAGCGTGCAGCCCAGAGCAGACCCTCAATAAACATCAGCTTCCTTCCTTCTGTGACCAGGCCAGAGACTTGTGCTGGAGGTGGGTGGGGGCGAGAAACCAGCCACAGCGTGGGCGCCCGTGGGCCATCCCGCCCTAGAGGGACACTTGGGGGGTTTCCGGGCTTAAAATCAGTCAGCCTTACCTCTTAGAGATGGCCCCCACCAACCAAGATTTCTTTTTCTGGCTCCTGCTGCCCATGTTTTAATTCCCTTTATGTCCCTAAGAAATATTTATGAGCACAAGTATGTGCTGGGCACTGTGCCGGTGCTACGGACACAGAGGGGAGCTCGACGCCCGCGCGAGCCTGCCCTTGGCAGCCATGGGAGGTGGGGCAGACAGGAGTGGGCAGTAATGACACAGCCCGCCCGTTCCCCTGGCCTCTTGTTTACTCGTCCTGGGAAATTAGGAGGAAGTCAGGTTCTCGTTGATGATTTCTCAGACCTGCTGAAATGTGAACTAAGAAGCTGAGAAAATACTTCTTGGTGACGTTTTGAAAGCACCTTTCTGAAACAGCAGTTTTGGACAGGAGCTAGATATAAATGCTACGTATCACCTATGACTCATACTTTTTTTTTTCTTGAGAAAATAGATGGTTTCCCCCAAGCATATTCACCCTTAGAGGCGGCTTTCCCAAGACCACCAAGCAGGGTTAAGGTGGCAGAGTCTGCTCAGAGCCGCGGGCGTCCCCAGGCGGCCTGGGAGCCCTGGGCCCTGCCGTCCTGCCTAGCGGCCAGGCTCTGGCTTGTCTCTTCTCCTGGACAGAAGTCAGTCCCGCTGAAAGCTTCTCTGTGGCTCTCTGTAAAATGGGGTGGCTGGGCGGGGTGGCTGAGAGAACACACGAGACCTCAGTGCAGAATGGTTTTCATAGCGGGACTGTGAGCTGGGATCAGGGTGTGTGAGGCGGGGATGGGAGCATGAGTGTGAAACCACAGCTCCTGCACCTGTGAGCTGCCCCACCCGCCCCCACCATCACCCTGGAGACACTTGGGCCAAGGTGTGCTGTGGTTTTCACACCCTCTTGGGGGCAACAGTTTCCAGGTTCCAGCCGCCATCTGGGCCCCGGGTTCCCGGGGAAGAAGCTGAGCTCTCCTGCACACAGAGCTCTGTGCTGGGGTGGGGGAGGGGACACCCGGGAGACTGACGCCAGGCCGGGGGTGCTGGCTGGGGGCTCCGGCCTGGGCCAGGCATGGCTCTTCACTGGCTCTGTCTCTGAAGGGGCTCAGCTCATAAGCGTGGGCACAAGATGGGGACGAGAACTGACCCATCAGGGAGCATGGATGAGTAGGAGGCAGGAGGATGGGTGATGGGTGGCCAGTGGGTCCATCGGTGGGGGGATGGATGGATAAGTGACAGGTCTGAAGGAAGAACAGTTGGATGGATGGAGATAAGCAGAAGCTGGAGACAAAGGTGACAGATCAAGCATGAGCTCCACGGAGGCAACGACTGCAGTTTGGTCACTGCTTTGTCCCTAGTCTGGCACGGAGCAGGCACTCAGGAAAGCCTGACCGTAGCGTCTGCTTATTTCCATGGTGTGAATACCTCCACCACGGCCAATTCCAAGCCATCAACTTGACTCTAAACATGGAATTGGGAAGAGATGCACACAACTGACTCTCCTAGCTGGTAGGAGCCAGCCGTAGCAAACCACTGACGGGAGCAGGAGGGGAGGGGAGCAGGCTCCAGGGAGGAGGCGGTGTTTATCGGACTTTGAAAAAGGAATAGGAGTTGTTAGGTGCACCAGCCATTCAGGCAGAAGGAAGAGCCTGAGCAAAGACCTGGAGGTGTGACCAAGCCCTGAGCCCCCGGAGGTGGGGAAGGTGGTTCCTTGTCACCCAAAGTCCAGGCCAGAATTGCTAAGGACCCTCTCTTCAGAGGCAGGAGGATTGACAGCAACCCGCGTCTCTGATTGCCACATTCTGCTCCTGGCCCAGCCATTTTCCATCTGCAGGCTCTAGAGGGGCAGGGATATCCATTTGATAAATGAAGTGAAGGTGCAGAAGGGGCCGGTGACTTTCCTGAAGTCATACAGTGGGTTAAAGATCAGTTAGAACTTGAACTCTGGTCTCCTGATCCCAAGTCCAGCCCTTCCTCACCTTGCTTTGCTGGAAGGTCAAGAGGTAAGAAACTCTTAGCAAACACCTGTGGGTGTCTTTTGCTTCTGCCCATGTAGCATCCTTGTGGGAGTGGCTGACACCAGCTCTAGGAGGGGCTACGTGACGCAGGCCTGGCCACCAGAGCATTCCATCCCTCTGCCACAGTACTGGTTCCTGGACAGACACGTGACCCAAGCTGGTCCATGTGCACTTCCTGCAGAGATTGCTCAGCTGTAGGGATGGACTAGGCCAGCAGCTGCTGGGGGCACCAGGAAGGAACAGTTTGCTTGCAATGAGGCCAACACACAGGAAAGCAGAGCTGGGAGATGGAGACATATTCCTGGCCATATCTCTTGAGCTCCTGGATCCAGCCATGCCTGAAACTACATTCCTTTTGGACTTTTGAGGTACGTAAGTATGGAAGTCATTATGCTGTTCATCAAATATTTGCAACTCTTGGCCTTCTGGTAAGAAGGCCTTCCGGCAGGATTGCACTCGCTGACCCCTTTGTGGTCAGATGGGGCCACATGACCTGGACTGGCTAAAGAGTTGTGAGCAGAAGTGGTAGTCTCACTTCTGGAGTAGAGCGTCTGACTGACAGTTGTGATGCTCTAGAGCATTGCTCCTCTCTGCCATGGTGACCAGTCATGTGGGAGATGTGGAGCAGAGCTTGCAGTTCACCTGTGACGGACAAGTATTGTGAGCAAGAAATAAATCCTGTTCTAACCCGCTGAGATTAGGGAGCGAGTGTTACCACAGCATAACCCCGCCTGGCCCGATTGAATCAATGAGCTGTAAGCTTCCCCTTTTTGCTTAAGGGGGTTTGAGATGGGTTTCTGTCACTTGCAGTAGAAAGCGCCCTGGCATATTCTCATCTCATCCCTGCATTGAGGACTCTCCTCCCATCCTAAGGAAGGACCACATCCTAAGCGACCAGAGCATGAGGCTCCACCACTTCTCATGAATGACCCAGGGCAAGCGGCTCCCTCTCGCTGAGCCCCAGTTTCCTCTTTTGTAAAGCGGGGGCAGGATCAGCCTCTGGGTTCACTCCAGGAATGAAAAGAGAGGACGAGGACAGGAACATCAGATGTGCGTTTGCTGCTGCTTCTGTCTGCACCTTGACCGGCCTCCGGGTCAGTGAGGTCCCAGCCCTTCCCCAGTCTCCTCCCCAGAGTTCCGAGTGCTTCCATGCAGGATGCCCTGAAGCTCACGTCATCCTCTGCCAGGATTTAAAGAACCCGAGAACTCCAGCATCCCGGCCATTCCCCATCAGTCACCACGAGGCCTCCGCCTGGGTGCTGTCTGGGTGTCGCCGCCGACGATCTCCTTTGGGGGGGGAGGGGGAGGGTGCAGATTGGACCCAGCCCTTCACTTACCCCTGGGAAACGGAGGACTGGAGGGGAGTGACTTGCCCAGAGTCACCCAGAGTCTGTGCACCCCGCTCTGCCTCCTGGGCTCCTTTTGGCCTCCTGCTGGAGGGGAGCCTCTTCTCCGCTCCCATCAGGGGACAGTTTGCCTGGGCTGGCCGCGGGCACCGTGGGCAGCACAGCCCCTCACAGCCCACCCGGGGTGCAGCCGCCCCAGAGGCACCTTCCGAGACGAGACGCAGGAGCGGCCTCCCCAGGGAAGGGGAGGGTAGCACGCGCACTGCCCCTCTAGAGGGGCTGTTCCACCGAGAGTGGAGGAGGGAGGAGTCCAAACTCGCACGGGGAGGGAACTGGGAGAGGGCTCAGCTGCAGCCAAGAAACGTCCACACACGAAGGGAAAACGAGGGTCAAGTCTTGCTCAGATGTCACCTTCTTGGCAGGACCTGCCCGGGGCCCTTGCTCGAAAATGCACCCCACTCCCCTAGTCTGATCTGTCCACATTTACTACGCTCTAGCGCATGCCTCCTCCTCGTTTACCATATTCGCTGTCTATCCCACTAGCGTGGGGATTTTGTCTGCTTTACTCGCTGTGACGTCTCAGAGCCTAGAACAGCACCCGGCCCACAGCAGCTGCCCAACAATATAAATGAGTCAATCAGTCATCGGTGCATGAATGAAGTAATCGATCGATGGCAGAGTCGTGACTGACACAGCAGCAAGCAGAGAGGAGGGAGGGGACGGAGCCCAGGAGGGAACTGTCGGCCTCCAGGCCTGGAAATGCCACAGAAGGGGACATGAAGATGCCGCCAGGGGTCTCCCCGGAAGTCTGCGAATGGAGCAGGAGACCCTCCCCGACTGCTCACACCACAGGGCAGCTGGCAGTCTTCCCCACCCCTGCTGGCAACACACTGGAGGGCTTTGCTTTTAAAAACCGATGGGCCCAGAGAAGAAACCTTTGCATTCTGCGATTCAGGGGATCTCCCCGCATAATGCTGGCTTCCTACCCCGAAGCAAACCCCATGCCTGCAAAGCCCAGTCGAGGGGAGGGGTCTGAGGCTACGCAGTCTAAGGTGGAACGCCAGCAGATCCACTTACTAGCTTCCAACCTGCGGACACCATTTGACCTCCTGTGCCTCAGTCCCCTCATAGATGAAACGGGTGTACCGGTCAGACACACCTCCGAGAGTTGCTGTGAGACCGGGAGTTCATTTGTGGGAAGAACCAAGAACAGCGTCTGGCAGGTTGCAGGCACTTAGAAAATGTTATCACCCCCCCAACCCAGTAAGCTTTTACTGATCTCAGCCTTACACGAGGACGGACAATGAGCTACAGACCCCTGGAGACGGAGATGAACCGTAGGAAACAGAGATGTTGGTGCCACCTGCTGGTGAGCACTGGCCCGTGGCTGAGGCAGCAGCTGAGGGCGGCGCCCTCCCACCTTGCTCTCTGGGGACTCCACTTGATCTGCCAGGCACTGTGTCAGGGGGCTGATGCAGCTGGCTCCAACAATCCTCACAGCAACCCTCTGCGGTGGGAACGTGGTGACGAGGGCATG